GCGCTGTACGAGCAGGTGCGCGCCGCGCGTACCAGGCTGAAACCGTCTTAACGCGCGCATTTACCAACAAGAATTCTGCCCCGCTGCTTAATGTCCATGAATAGTTTAAAACCATTTGTTTTTAAACCACAATGCTTAAAACGCGTTTAAGCTTACATCATAACGCGCAAAACGATTGACATTTTTGTACCGGGTTATTTCCCAACCCTTAAGCGAATATATAGAGTTTGTTCAAACACAAAAAGCCAAATACATCCATCAAGTTAATAATCAAACTAACCTAAAATCTGTGTGGACGATGGCGCTGTTTTTCTTTTTTTTTAGAATAGCTGACATTTTTACTTATCGAAGATTGTTCTTTGCGTGACCATTTCCAGATTATGCCAGAACGAAGTGAAGAGTGGAGGTGAATGCGGACATCAGGCTCAGCGATCACCTGATAGATACACGTACAGTTCGTTCAAAAGTCAAATACAGAATAAATGCATTTGATTGGTAAACCAAATTCAAACGTGACGTCTCAATATCTAATAGTAATACATGGAATTTATGGCAAAGCTCCACTAAATAATAGCGCTAAAAGTGGGGGCGTGGTGGGGCTTTGGCGATTGGCGCTTCAGTCAATCTACTCCACAGCCAATCACGGGCCCCTCATTGCTCGGGCCCTGGGGCTTCAGCCCCACCTAGCCCTATTGTTAATCCGGCCCTGATTGTATGTTGTCTCTGGCAGCATGGGATTGTGTGAGAGCATTTGCACAGATGGACAGAAGGACAGGGCAGGTGGGGCGCTAGACATACAGATGGGACGCACATACTCACAGCCTGCCTTGTCACGAAGCTATTATCCTCCCGAATCCTTTGACACACACAGGCTATTGCTCTTTCTAAGCCTAAACGACTACAAACGGCATATTTGTAGATGAATTTCTGCTTGACAAGCGGGCAGCACTACTAAGTTTCGCTTCCAAAACATAAAAGCAATTATAATAAAGACTTCCTTTAATGAACACACTCTCATTAAGCCGCAGCTCAGCAGGTAAAATGAAAACAAAACGAGACACAGGCTGAACCCGTCCCGCCTTTGCCATTTTAAACGCAAGTCTTTGAGGTGGTTATACATGTGTAGGACTGCAGGCTAACACACCTAGCCACTGTGACAGCAATTACTGTGTGTTTTCTTTCTCAGGCCTCTGCCCGGCCTTTGCAGGATGCTTGTGTGCGATTGTAGTGGAGACGAGTGACAGAGATGAACTATCTTTGCTGAAAAGGTTAGCGGATGTGCATCGGCATGGAAAAACAATCCAGGGTATGTCTCTGCGCCTCCCCCGCATGCTAGAAAAACACCATCTCATGTATATGTTGCATGAAATGCTGTCTTTTTTCTTGAATAAAATCGAGTTGGGGTGGGGGCTCGGGTATACTTGCTCTTGTCTCCAAGACCTCCCTGGGGTGCGTTGCCGTGGAAACGGCCCCAGGTAAATCAGCCTCCTGAAGGTGGTTTTTTGTGGTTCCATTCCGCTTCAATTGGCCAGAGACTGTGTATATCTCCCAGTGTGGGAAATGGAACAGGCTAAATGAAGTCGACAGTCGAAGGCCCCAGGGAAGTCCACAGGCAGTTGTGTACCAAACTCATTGGGCTGATCAGCTAAACGCACTCCATTAAGGTGGGTCTCATGTACTAGCGAGTACTGCTTGAAGAGTGTGCTGATTAAAAACAGATGACATGACCTTACAGTCAACATGGAACCCAAATTGACCCCATTTACTCAGTACATATACCTG